TAGTATCATCACAATTAATTACTTTATTTTTAAAAAGATTTAATTTTTTTTTTAAATTTTAAAGATGTGGGGTACAGTTCAGGGTTAGGTATACCAATGTGCACTATGCAGGCACCCTTGTGGATGAGGTGTGCCTCTCCTTTGCATGGCAGTTTCCCTCAACTGCCAAGTCCACCCTCCCATTACTTTACTTTTAAAATAAATGCAGTGTAACCTAAGTGTATAGTGTTTATAAAGTCTATGGTAGTATACAGTAATTTCTTAGTCTTTCACTTTCACTCACCACTCTTTCACTTACTCACCCAGAGCAACTTCCAGTCCTGCAAGCTTCATTCATGGTAAGTGCCCCAGTTAGATGTACCATTCAAAGAAATCTCTTCTGCAGTATTTCTTACTGTGTCTTTTCTGTGTTTAGATATGTACAGGTTCATAAACACTTACCACTGGGTTACAGTTGTCTACATCATTCAGTACAATAACATGCCATCTGGGTTTGGAGCCTAGGAGCAGTAGGCAACACCGTATAGCCTAGGTGTGTGGTAGGTAGGTGGCATCCTACTTTTGGTGTAAGTATGCTCTATGATATTTATGCAATGATGAAATCACCTAATGACACGTTTCTCAGGATGTATCTCCACCATTAAGCAACACATTACCGTACCTGGGGCTGGGTAATTTAAAAAGAGCATATATTTACCTTTCCTAGTTTTAGAAGCTGAGAAGTTTAAGATCAAGGTGTTGCCAGGTTCGGTTGTCTGCTGAGGGCAGCTCTCTGCTTTCCAGATTGTGCCTTTTGCTGCCTCCTCCAGAAGGAAGAGGCAGTGTCCTCATGTGGCAGAAATCAGAAGGGCAAGGGGGCCAAGTGCTGTGTCTGAAGCTTTTTTCTTCCTCACTATGATTTTAGATTCGGAGTGCACATGCGTGCCATTACATGCACGTATTGTGTAGCGGTGGAGACTGGGTCTCAGATGGTGGACATTATGCCCCAAAGATAATTTCTGAATTCTAGCTCCCCTCCCCACCCTACCCCTTACTACCCCTTACTGGTGTTCCTAGTGTCTATTATTTCATCTTTGTGACCATTTAGCTCCTGCATTTGAGTGAGAATATGCAGTGTTTGGTTTTCTGTTTCTGAGTCAATTCACTTAGGATGATGAAGCTTCTTTTTAGGGCCTTGATCTCATTCATGAGAGAGGAGCTCTCATGGCTGAATCACTTTTAAAAACTCCACCATTAAGTTTCACAGTTTTGGAGGGGGCCACTTTAAACCATAACAAGGAGAAAGAACGGGGACCATGTAAGGATAGGAAATACCCAAGGCATGGGTGGCCTTTTCACTACTTCTTTGAGTTGCAGTTCCATTCTATGGCACAAGTCATTTAAAATGCAACGAGTGCCTGCCTATCACAACATTTCATAGTAATGTTATTCATTACTATCGACTGGATAATTCTCACAAAAATGTTTAAGTGTTACACAGAACAAAGTTATTATTCATGATATCATTGCCAATAGTGAGGGTTATCAGTTTATAAAGCAACCCTTTAGACCTTTAACTTAGCATTTAAAGAAATTCTGACTAATTTTTATGGAACAGAGGAATTAGCATAATTTCAACATACCTGTTATTGTTAGAGCACTCTCTGGAACATCTCAAACATGTTAGCACAACTGAAGCTCTGTTTTTTTTTTTCTTTTTAAGTCACTAATTTAATCTATGGGGGAAAAGAGATTTCAGAATATGGTGCTAGGCATCTTACCAAAAGCATAATTATTGGCATTGAAAAAGTACTGCGATAATAATAGAATCACAGATTGGTGATCTGGATCTAATATTTTCACCATTGCTTACTAGTTATGTGGCTAGTAAAATATGTGATTAGAAAATAGTGGTGGTAGTATCTTCCCTACTAGAAAGATTATTAGAATCTCTTAAGTGCTTTTAATTCTAACACCTGTAATTAGATCACATTGCCGTGGTAACCGGAAATAAAGTCTTAAATGATAGTGAATGTCTTAAAAATTTCAACCTGTTACTGCTTTTGGTCAACAAATTGTGTAGCACAATGTCATCTTTGAAATAGAAAAATGAATCGCCAGTACAGCATGAACTCCAGAAGAAATAAAATGATGTCTTCACCAAAAATAAAATATGTTATTTCAAATTTTAAAATCTTCTTGGTGGTGTTGAAAATTTTTTCACATAGCTGACAAACAAGGTCACTGTGACTTTTGCACAAAACATTACACTGTTAAAACTTGTTATTTTTAAACAAGTTTAAAACAGATTAAGTGCCAACGTCTTTTAAGTTACATACTACATGCAATTTTATTCTTTTTTTGAATACAGATCTTTATTAGGAAAATTATAACTGCATATACATTTTTTCATTGATATGACTTCAAAGTAGAAATTGTTTCTCAAAGAGTTTCTCAAAGGTAGCTTCTGCATACATGAAGCTACCTTCTCCTGGGCCATTTTCACATTATCTGGGAGACGTTAATTTAAACAATACAAAATACAGTATTTATCACATTTCACACAGAACCCATCAATAGAGACTGAGAGTCCAGTGAGGTTGCAATATAACATATTTTCTATCAATTTGGCGATGTCAGTGGTCTGATTAGGGTATCTGGAGGCTTCCAAGGGGCATTTCCCAGGGATGAGGCTCCCTCAGAATGGATCAGGGAAGCTGTATAGTAGGATCAGGGCCCCCAAATTATCCTCCAGCTAGGAAAGGGTGCACCATCTGGGAAAAGTGCTCAGCTCTCAGGAAGCCTATGGTGATAATACTAGTCAAAAAAGTCACACCATGGAAGGGTCAAATGGGAGCCAGTGAAAGACTTAGAGCATCTCTGTACTTCACCTGGGGGGACTGCAACCTTTTGCTATTTGGAGCTTCTGCTTAAAGGTGAACATTTTTTAATTTGGAGGCAATCTTTGGTGAACAGGTAGACAAGCAGAGGATCCCTCCTGAGCTTCCTCACTGGTGTCACAGTGCATGGCTGGAGGAGGACAAACAACCGCACAGACACATGGCACTGATTCAGATTCCAACGCAGAGCCACACAGCCTATCTGTGAGCTCCTAGCCCTCTCTTCTTGCATCCTAATGCAGAGGCTGGCAGTGAAGGATCACCCTGGAGGTTAGAGGGAGCCCAAGGGAATGTCAGGTAGAGGCAGCACCAGGACCAGGAGGAACAGCTAGATGATCTTTACTCAACAGCTCACTGATGCACTTGACTAGTAGTTTGAAAGCAAAAGAGAATTAGGATTAGGAGACTTTTCCTTTGCAAATGGACTAGTGTATTTAAACACATACTGCTTTAGCTGGGCAGTCTCCAGGTAGGCACTGATTTGTTATACGAATAATTTTCCCTGCAGTTTCTACTCTAGTTCTCCTCCCTGCCCCCATGGAGGAGAAATGGAAGTGACTCTGTATTTAGCTGTAGTCAAGATTTAGGGTCCTGTTTGTTTCCTCCAAGTCAAAAGATTTAATGGTCCTGGTTCATGAATTGGGGGAAGGGGCTTCCGAATTTTCCATAAGAGATCCTAAAATATCTTTGATTACATGGAGTAGGACTGCCACACTGAAAATAAAATTATTTCATGTATAATTCAGCACTGCTATAGTGACAGGTTAATTTCAAGAGAAGATTTTGAAACTAGTTCTGCATCCTTATAACTAATACAGACCCCCAGACTCTATTTTTTCAATATAACCTAACTGGTTTGAGAATTTTACTTTTTGTTTAAATTAGAGAAAAATTTTGCCTTCTGCCATGAAGTTTCAATTACTGGAATATTTACAGACATGCCTAACATATGTCACCAACAATCTTACAGATTGTTAAATCGAAAACACCTATAATCCAAGATTATCTTACCAGAATTACTTTCTGCATGTTACAGTGTCCTGGGCTCGATTTGTTTTAAGGTATCAACAGCTGAAGGCCAGCAGTTCTCTGAAGTCAATACTGCTGCAAACCAAATTACTCTGGGCTCTGTCTGTTGATCCACTATGGTTTTGTGACCAGTGGGGGAACCAAGGCAGTTCACCCCCAAAGATCACGGCTATGATGAGGAACCCAGTCAAAGGGTATCTCCTTACACTCAGCCTTTACATGAGAGGAGCGGGCAATGCATGAACCAAGATATTGGTCGTGGGTAAGGATGCCAACTTTGATCAAAAACACAGGATTGGAGAGTGGACGGTATTCTAAACAAGACATAGGTGTGCACAGTGTTTTCTGGTAACACAAGACATTTCGATTTCCTTCTTTGTGCCCAGCTTAAATGAAAGCTTTGGTCTCGGGAGAGTCCTTTTTCAGGATCATGGAGACAGTCTTGGATATGCATGACAATGGGTAAGAGAAGGGAATGATGCGAAGAACATGATGGATGTGGAGGACCGCTCAGGATGAGGGCTGGGTCTCACTCTGCCCTGACTTGCACTCCTGCCTCAGCTCAGGGGAGCCCTGGCATCCTCCTTGAAGAGTCAGACCCCGGCTCCCATTTGGAGAAGGGTGTGGGCCTCCTATCTGGCCCTCTACAACCTTCCCTCCACCACCCCATACTGCAGAGGGCAACCTTCACTATGCTTTGCCCAAGATGACTGGTTCTGACACCCCATTAGGCCCTCCTGGCGGCCCTCCGTCCTAGGGCATGATCAGGTGGGCAAGACCCCCTCAGTCTTGGTTCCCAGCTTGTGCAGCTTAGAGAGATACAAAACTCAGGAACCCCAGTCAGAGGAGGGGCTCCATGGGAAAGATATTATAATAAAGCAGATATAACAAAATAATGGCTTTCGTCTAAGTTTCTGTGTGTTACCCTTGACATTGGAAAATTAGACTGAATGAAAAATAAACACCACATATTTTGCTACGTAATCAAAAAGTGAAGGTAAGGCAAAGTGTGCAAAACAAAGCCCTTGGCAATGCATCCACCTCTCACATCTTGAGCCTCTTGTTTAAAGCTTTCTCCAGTTATTCCTGAATTCACTTGAATTCCAAGTCAATGCACACTTGTCTGTTGTTGTTCTTCAGTCTTGCCACAATCTGAAGGGCGTGGTTTGGGGTGTTGAGGATTTTGAGGCACTTGACATGGACTCTGGCAACTTGGCTTTCAAAAAATTGGCATGGACATCCGTAGCTCAGGCTGACAGGCTTTCCATCTCTGAGGCAAAGCGCAGCCAGCACGAGGGCCAGCATGACGATGACCTTGACATCCATGGTGCTGCAGGGTGGGAGGGTGATGGCGGGTGGGCGATGGCAGGAAGCGCGCCGGGCGCTGCGCTGGATGGAGAGTGAAAGTGCCATGTAATTTTATTCTGACCCTTCCATGTGATTTACATTGTCACATAGTTGCTTATAAATTTTTCTTATCATACTAATATTGATAATAAAAATCTGGATGCTCAATGTGGCATTAATTTTTATATATTACATTTCTTGGTTGTTACCACACATCTAACATTCTAAATTAACCATTAAAAGAACACTTTGCCGCGTAAAATACAGGACTTATAAAAATGTAGTACAAATTAACACACGCTACTTGTATTAGTCCAGATGTCAAATGGTTGGATGTCTACATGTAAAGTAATAAATCTGACCCCTTACTTCATATCATTTACAAAAATTAACTGAAAACATATCAAATAACTAAATACTGGAGTGAAAACTCTGAGACATATGGAAATAAAGTTTTATAACCTTGGATTTGGTAATGTTTTTTCTAGTTATTACACCAAGAGAAACAAAAGGAAAAAAATAAAGAGGATTTCATAAACATTTAAAACTTTTTGCATGAAGGGACCCTATCAAGAAAGTAAAAAAGAACTCACAGAATTGGAGAAAATATTTACAAGTTGTATAACTGATAAGTGTCTAGTATCCAGCTATGTAAAGAACTCCTGGATGGTCTCCTGGCTCAGCCTGTAATCCCAGCACTTTGGGAGGCCGAGGCGAGTGAATTGCCTGAGGCCGCAGGTTTGAGACCAGCCTAGGCAATTTGGTGAGCACTCATGTCTACAATAAAAAAAAATTAGCTGTGTATGGCAGCGCGTGCCTGTAGTTCCAGCTACTTGAAAGACTGAGGAAGAAGGATCCCTGGAGTCCAATAGGTAGATGCAGGGGTGACCATGAAGGTGCCACTGCACTCCAGCCTGGGTGACAGAGACTCCAACTAAAAAAAAAAAAAAATTCCTACAACTCAATAACAAAGAAAAAACCTAATCCATTAATGGGCTGGGGGCTTGAGTACATGTCCATCCAAAGAACATATACAAATGACCAAAAAGCACATGAGGAGACACTCACCATCATTTGTCATTAGAGAAATACAAATCAAAACCACAATGAGATACCACTTCATACCCACTAGGATGGACAAATCAAAAAAGGATAAGTGTTGGTGAGAACAAGGAGAAATTATAACCCTGGTACATTTCTGGTGGGAGTGTAAAATGGTGCAGCCACTGTGAAAATCATTTGGGGGTTCCTCAAAAAGCTAAACATAGAATTACTATAGGACCCAGTAATTACACTTTTGTTAGGTAATAGTTAGGCATGAGTAGGAGGGTCCCATCCCTGAGGGTACCTGGTCTCCAGCCACGCCCCAGACCACGTGCCCCAAGTTCATCATTCTAGATAGAAAGTCCCTCTGTCTTGTGGTTACAGTATCCTGACTAGTGAGAAACTTTGTGCACCAGGGACTTTCCAGAGCTGTACACATGCGCGTTGGAAGTTTAAGATTGAACTCTTATAATCTTTAAGTTATTACCATATTATTAGCATTAATTAGCATTGTGATTTTAACCCCCCACTCCCCATAGGTTTTGCTTAGTTTTGTGGGAAACCTGAATGTGCCATCCCAAAAGATTATATAACACGGACCTGTCCATCAAATTATGAAAAATGCAGATCGACAGGAGGAAAACCAGGAAAAAGGAAGTAAAATACCCTATAAAACCGAAGCCCTCAGTTGGTTCAGGGCTGATTCTCAGAAGCCTGCTTTGTTTTTCTTGCTGAATGGATTTTTCTCTTGCTCTCAAGAAACTATTGCTTATAATTATGATTGTTTGGTTCTCGTTTTCCTTTCCTTTTTATATTTTTATTTTAAAGATGTAGGGTACAATTCAGGGTTAGGTGTACAAATGGTCAAGGTACAGGTAACATTTGGGCCTTACTTTGGTTTCCCAAAACACCTGGTTTGAGATTGCGTACCCTTACAGATGAAGGATGCTCCGTTATCCCTACCTACTCCCCCCCTCTGCAGTTTCCTATTACTGCCGATCCCTTTCTTGTAGTATTATGATAATTGTTCGAGGTCCGCTTATGATTCTTTTTTGACGAGACACAAGAACCAGGGACTACAGCCAGATCCTTCTAGCTCGGTAACACTCCTAGGTATATACCTAAAAGATTGAAAACAAGTGTTCAAAAACAAAAAACAAACACAAAAAAACTTGTTACATGAAGATTTATAGCAATATTCTTCATAATGGTCAAAAACTGGAAACAACAGAGATGTTTATCTATGGATAAATAGAAAACAAAATGTGATCTATCCATGCAATGCAATATTCTTTTTTTTTGAGTTGGAATCTCACTCTGTCGCCCAGACTGGAGTGCAGTGGCCGCTCTGGCCACCACAGACTCGACCTGCTGGGCTCTGGCCATCCCTCCACCTCAGCCTTCCAAGTAGCTGGAAGTACAGACATGTGCTACCACCACCCGGCTAATTTTTTTGATTTATTGTAGAGATGAGGTCTCCGTCAAGTTGCCCAGGCGGGTCTTGAACCGGCGGGCTCAGGCAATTCACTCACCTTGGCCTCCCAAAGCACGGGATTACAGGCTGAGCCACCAATATTCTTTAGCCCGAAAAGGAACAACGTACTGATACACGTTACAAAAAGAAAAAAATGTGACATTACGCTAAATGGAAAAAGCCAGACACAAAACCCATGTATTGTATGACTCCATTTATATGAAACATCCAGAACAGGCAAAGAAGGTATAGTGTAGAGGCTACTCTCCCTTCTACCTCTCATGCTTTCAGTTCCCCTCTCCAGATTCTTGGTATCCTTCTAGAGATTTCAGTGCACACTCAAGAAAATAAGTGTGTTTTATCCATGGAATACTATGCAGCCATAAAACGAGCAAAATCACGTCCTTTGTGACAACATGGATGCATCTAGAGACCATAATCCTGAGCAAATTATCACAGATACAGAAAACTGAATATCGCAAGTTCTCCCTAAAAAGTGGGAGCCAAACACTGTGTGCACATGGGCACAAGGATAGGAACGACAGACACTGGGCACTCCTCAAGGGGGGATGGGAAGATAGGGCTGAAAACTACCCACTGGACACCATCTTTCACGCTAGTGATGGGTTCAATAGAAGCCCAAGCCTCACCAAGACTCCTACGTAACAAACTCACGCATGTGCCCCTTGAATCAAAATAGAAAAAATTGTTTAAAGCATGTTTTACACAAATGGTATCCCTCGTATATTAATAGCACTCATCTGGACTTTTCTTAAGTGTAGTATTTATTTTTATAGATTGTTGCATACCTATTTTTATAGGTCTGCCTCATTGAAAATGGGGAAAAGGGCAGCAATGTACTTAAATATTTGTTAAATCTCAAAACATTTGAACTGATTTTATATGTAATATCTTCCCCTGAATTGTCAAGGACAAATCTCATTATGCTATCTCTGTAATGTTGTCTTATATGTTGGTATCTTTTATTATTATAATTATTTTATTATTGGTATCTTTTGAATTTCTGAATAAGTCTTTATATGATTGTGCTTTGAGATTCAGGCTTTGTCTATGTGAAGTCAAAACAATCGCTCAGTTAACGAATTCTCTTGTTTTTGTAGGGCTGGCTAATAACTCTAACTTTAATTTCTTTTTTTTTTCAATCAGTATTTTTTATTATGGTTTTGTGGGGTACAGTTAAGGGTTAGGTGTACAATTACGTTTCATTCAGGCACCCTGTTGATAAGAGGTGTT